AGTCCTGGTCGCCGTTTGCCAACCAGCAATAGTGATCCTTCCTTCCTTCGTCGTTGATGATCGCACTCAGCTCAATGAGACGCGAGAAGCGACGAACAACCTTGGCAGCGCTCTGACACAGCTAGAGGAGATGATGGTTCTCCAACTTCAAAGCGTGGACCAACTCTCTGGCATATGCTCTTAAGCCTTAGCTACAGAGGGGGGAAATAAGGTCCAACGCTGTTGCTGGACCATCTGCTTCCTACCTTGGCCAATATGGATACAGCGAATGGCTGGAGATCAGAAAATCCATTCAGCGCTCCAAATCCAGACATAAGCCGATTATCAAAGACATCATCAATGATCTTATCAAGAAGATGTCCAGATATGTCGCAGTCCCTGATAGGCCAACACTAAAGAAAGGAGAAAGGAAGAAAAGACATTTAAGTCCTAATGATGGACCATCCCTGAGGAATGAACATGAAATAAAGTTCTCCTTAGATGAAGTCCTGAAGGATTTTGAGAGTCCATACATCTCTATGTTGAATCCTGAATTGCCAGGGAAGGGTCCTTATGTACCCAACATTGTGCACTTCAAACCTGAGTCAGGAGTTATATTATTTGACTATGACAGTGAAGTAAGATCTCAGAGAATGTCTGAGTTACATCTATGCCCGATGGAACACCTGGTTTATCTTATGTTCTGGCTAGATGATGACTTGAAATGAAAAGTTATGGACCGAAAGATACGTTGAAAGAAGCTTGGAGAAGATGTACCAAGTTTCATTAAGTTGAGCGACTTAGACTAGTTTATTTCCTTTGTAACATTGTCCATGTATTGTAAGCAATTTACTATGTCTACTTTCAGTGATTAATCTTATATTTTGGAAGTTGTAGACATGTACTGAACTTCTTGTAATATTTCTCTTAAAATTAATATAAGTGTTATTGTGCATCACTGAAAAAGATCCCTGAAAAAAGTAATTAGGACACAAGTCTATGAGTTCTAGTGTTACTTTTACATTCACTGACAACCTATAAGTCAGTGAATAAGCTTTCAGTTTCAGTTTCTCTTCTTGTAACTTTACTTAGACTTAACTTAAGAAAATTTTCTAAGTAAAGATTGACTCACTGAAAAAGATCCCAAAATAGTTAAAAGGGACATGTACTTTATGTGTTATTTTTCCTTACTATTATTTGATAAGACAAATTTCTTTATGTTTTCTTCTTATCATTAAATAGGGGGAGATTGTTGATCATCTATCTCTCATTGATTTGATGATAATCCCTTTTACCTTATACGAAATATTTATGTTTCAGTTTTTCAGTTCCAACGATCATCACTGAGTCTGTTCAGTGATCGCTGAAAACTTGTAATGTAAATCCATCAGCGACAACGATACTTCAAGAAGACAAAACTCACACCAAAGAACCTTTAACGAATGTCGAAGACTGAAACTGAAGATTAGAGACTAACGAGTACGTGATCTGAAGCGGTATTCAGGGATTACAACCCTGTCTACGTATGTGTGAAGATTGCCCAATTGTTTTTGTCTTGTCCTTATACACATAAAGGACAAACCCATACCCTTTCTAAAAGATAGTACGGTATGGAGCCGATTAGTTGACTCTATTACCCACCAACTTTGTGAAAGGATATATGCTCATGAATAGGCTTTTGTACTACTCACTGTAGTAAAGGACACGTCTTTCTCTAAAGGCTTGACACGTGTTCTAAACCTACCATGCTGCATTAAATATGCATATAATGCAATGGGTATAGATAGATGTGTTCTATCTCCATTCAGAGATAGTCTACACTCTGAACTTACTTACTTTTGAACCCTAACTCTCGTTCATAAGTAAAAAAACACACATCTAAGAACACAATACGCTCATCTTCAAGAGCAAGTTAGAATCTCTTTATTGTATTTTAAATAGTTCTCTCCCATATAGAACTTACTTTCTTCTAAATCTTTCACAACAAATCTTTTCTTTATTTGCTAATAACTAGTGTGTAACTTTAGATTGTTTAGATAGGTTTTATTTACCTTATCTTTCTGCAAACAATCTTGTAAAATCTGTATTGATCCTTCTTTATCAATATATATTTTAAATTTGAAAAGTTTATTGTGTTTGTATTCATCCCCCCCCCCCCTCTTCTACAAATCGTTATACACATTTTGTAGACCCTAACGGGAACAACAAAGCATCTTGAGTTGACACAATGAATTTCATCCTTTTTTTACACACATCTTTTCATTCTAATCTTTCAATCTCTCATCAAAATGAGATATCTTAAACTCAACCACAATTGACTAATACTTCAATACTTAATTCTGATGACGCACCTAATTACCTATATATATATTGATGATTGTAAACACAATTCCTTTTTTATTTTTATATAATAAGATTTGTTTTGAAAAAAATAAGGTCATCCAAATAAGATAACCTTATGACTCAAGTCTCGTGAGCTAACACAATATAAGATTTGTTTTGCAAAAATAAGGTCATCTAAATATCATCTACCCTCCTATTGTGTTTCTCTAATGAATTTTTATTCGTATTCATTTATCGTAGAATGACTATCTCCTCGAATGATTGAGAAGTACGGACCTGACACTAGCACCCATCCACTTGAAGATATTGAAGAATTGGAGTGTTATGCGAGAGGAAGGAAAATAGGTTGAATGTTTGGCGTTGGTATGTGTGCGGATCCGAGCTACATGGTAATTGGTTTATAGAGCGGGTTGATCGAGTACCATTAGTTGATTATTGTATGGATTTGACATATTATTAGATCTATATGGACTTATATGGATATATATACAAATTTGTAGGTAAATTTATGGTCGAATTTATGGATATATATATATATATATATATAAAGAGAGAGAGAGAGATATGGGAAAATGTAGTAAATAAGGATTTTTAAAATTAAAAATCCAAAAAAAGCAACGGCTTACCTATGGTTTAATCATCGGTAAAAGCTAGACAATTTTTTTAAAAACCCTCGGAAAGTCGTCGGTAATGAGTCATCGTAAAATTGTTGAATACCCTCGGAAAGCTGGCGGTAGTAGAAACTTCGGAAAAGTCGTTAGAAACAAGAATCCTCGGAAAGCCAACCGTTGGAAAGCTGTCAATAAACTGTCGCTGAATATTTCCGACCAACTTTTTACCGACGGTTGTTTCTTGTCGAAAAGCCGTTGGTGAAGACCATTTTCGATCGTTTTCCGACGGTTTTTGCCGTCAGTGACAACCAATATTCTAGTAATGAAATCAAGGGCCAAGATTGGTTTGTATAGTGTGTAACATTTAGGCGGTTTGTATTTGATTTGTTCTCTCTCTCTCTCTCTCTATATATATATATATATAGAGAGAGAGAGAGAGAGGAGCGTTCAAATAAAAACCGCCCCCATTTGTGTAAACAGTGTAACCCAATCTCATCCATCCATTTTCTTGATCAATGGTCAAGATTAGTTTACTTTATTTTAGGAAATTAAAAATATATATATATATTAAAAATTTATTTTTATATTAGCAATAAGGGCAAAATGGTAAACAAAAATACATTTTCTGTAACATCCTATTGAAGGACATTATTCTTTATTTTAGAAAATTAAAATTTTCTATTTGTTAGGAAATAATTTCGCTAAAGCAGCAGTCTTTTTATTCCTTATCCTGAAATTGTTTCAATGTCCTTCACACACCCATGTAAATATGCACCCTATTCATTATGAAATTATTTTAAGACGCACCGGTTTCATCATGAATCCATTTTAGCATGTAATTATTTCATGACAAACCGCATACTTATGCACCCGTTTCATTTTGCATTTCACCTACTAAATGGATCAACTACACCATTACTGAAACGGGGTTCACCATCAAACCAGTTCACTACTCATTGTTCAATTACGCCATGAACTAGTTTCACTTTCATGAAACTTGTTTCATGTATATAGATTAGTTTATTTCGCTCCTGATTTGATGAATTCATTCTTTTAATCCTTACAATCTTAAAGATTCTATAGCAGATTACAATCTTCAAGATTATGGAGCGATTCATCATGTACCTGTTTCATCATGCAATTATTTCATGACGAACCAAATACATTATGCACCCGTTTCACTACTCTTGGTTCAATTACGCCATTAACCAGTTTCACCTTCATGAAACCTATTTCATGTACGTTAATTTTCTTATTTCACCTGTGATTTGATGAATTCATTCCTATAAGCCTTACAATCTTCAAGATTCTGTAACAGATTCATCATGTACCCTTTTCATCATGAAATTATTTCATGACGAACCAGATACATTATGCACCCGTTTCATTTTCCACTTCACCTGCTAAATGGATCAACTACACCATCAATGAAACGGTTCACCATGAAAATGTTTCACTACTTATTGTTCAATTATGACAAGAACCAGTTTCACTTTTGTGAAACCTCTTTCATTTGTATTAATTTCCTTTTTCAATCATGATTTGATGAATTCATTACATTATGTCTTACAATCTTCAAGATTCAGCAGCAGATTCAATCGCATCACAATATATTTAGTTCAAAATTTTAAAATTATAATATAATTAAATATTTAAATGTTACCATTTATAAAATTTCTTTTATTAGGTTTCCTTAATTAAGATTTATTTAATAATTTCTTTTATCGCATCACAATATATTTAGTTCAAATTTTTAAAATTATAATATAATTAAATATTTAATGGTCATAACTTGTATCTACCCCATGATAACCATGACATCTAATTTCAACCACAAATCGAAGGATAAATTAAGAAATTAATAATTTTGACTTAAAATTTAGTTAAAGAGCCTTTTAGGTATTTTAAATTTTTTCTCTCTCATCTTTTCTCTCTTTGGCAAACCTTATTCCATCGAACACCATCAATGATACCTAAAATCAATACAGTTTAAAAAATATGCATACAAACGATACTCAATATGATACCCAAGATTTAATTAGTAAAGCAATAAAAATAATGAAAATACACAAAGTGATAGTTCATAAAACAACGAATATAGGAAAAATACATATTGTGATACACTTCGTAAAGAACGCTACATGATACGCTTCGAAAAATACAAATTGTGACACACTTTATCGGAGTTGCGGTCTGGGTTTCTACCAATTAGATCTCAAGTCGCAGGTTGACGGCATAGTACGTTTGAACGGCAGTAAGACCAAAGAGGATGATTCCAGCAACTAGCGCAATGAAATTCCATGGACTACTGAAATAAGTACGCCTCAGTCGTGCAATATTTTTGGGCCAGTAACCATTGTAGTAGCTATACAATTGGTTCCATTGTTGATTATAGTAGAAATCTCGTAGGATAACATTTTCGCATATGCTGCTGATCATATTTGCTGCATCTTGGTTAGTACCCAAATGGTTTATGAGAACTTCTGAATCTACCATTTTGACAATGTCATCTTGAGTATCCACTAGCATATCCATGGCAACAGCATATGATGTAATGTAAGTATCACTCAGAGGACTACATTGCTCATATGCAATTAAGTTCCTCAAAACTGACTCAGTGTAATCTTCAATAAACAGTACTGGCATTCTGAGAGTAGGCTTACCCCACCCCCAAACAAAGCATGGCAACCACGATGCTTTAAATTCCATGGCGAGTGGCCATCTTTCATCTCAATTACGCTTAAAGTTCACCCCTGCCACGGTCAGTTCTTCAACTGAATGGAACCTTGTCACTGAAAATTCAGATGGCATAGCATCAGCAGGCTGGCAAAATTTCTGCAGAAGGCCAAGGATATGGTCATAACTTGTATCTACCCCATCATTAATGTTGGTTACATACGATTTGTCGAAGGGATAGATAGGCCTTAGAAATGAAAAGACTAAGCTCTGAAGAGAAGATGATGGAGAAAATTCTAAGATGGTGCACTTAAAGATGTCCTGAAGAACAAAGAAAGGTATCTGGTTTTCTAGCAGGACCAAGTCATACGCTACATTTATATAGACCAATTTATTGTAAAAAATTGGATCGTCGTCAGGATGGTTATGGTTACGGACCCTGAGAATGAATTCAAGTATGAAACAACCATCTATGACCATCATTTTTGCAACTTCGCCGTCATCATAGTCCTTCATTTCCCCAGCATAACATGCCCTGATTTGTTCCACCTTCGCATACACCCTTTGAATGCATTCGTCCATCTTTTGATTTGGCATGGATGGTAAACGAAGAAATAGATCAAGCAAATATGTCACTTTATGGCTTTCAATATCTTGCAATTCTTCATCTTCTTTGTGGAGAGGTCCAATGGCGACGACACGAGGCTTAAACGAATTTGGGCTGAGATTGCGTAGGGTACTGTCAACGATGTAAATGGAGGGTGAAAGTTTTTTTCGATGGTTTCATCTTTCTTTTTCTTTCGCAACAAGAACCTGGATCATCTGTATGGTCTCTACATCTCCCTTCTTCACGTCGATGTTTTCCATTTGAAATTTCAGCTTTCCTGATATAATCCCTTATAACTAGTAACCAAATTAAATTATATAGAGTTAAGAGTATAGTGACCAAAGAAAGCCAAGAAACAATTTAAACCACTTAGGTTGGTTACTATACGCATAATAGACCAAGAGAGGGGAAGGGTGAGTGATTTTACTTCATGAACTTAATCATCAGTTACAATGCAACTACTACTACATCACAAGACAGTAAATAACTTCATCTACATAACCGACTTAGTCTCCCTCCAATCGCTTCTTGACACGACTCTACTCATAAGAGTTGATTAATGTGATGAGTTTTCATGAGTGGAATTTTGTTTGTAATTAAAACGTTGTGGGTTTACTGACAACAAATTATATGAACAATGTAGCTACCTAATTCAATTCTGAAATTGACTTTAAAATAAGGAACTTCTTAAAGCATTGTGATTTTGTCACATAAAATTAGGATTTAAAGAGGTATTCTATTAATATGTTTTCAAGTAGTGAATTCTACCAAGAATTTCAAACATGAATTGTAAATTCAGAAGTAAGCTTAGATTTAAGTTATTAAAAACAGGTTCTTTTTTCTAAATATTATCTATTAAACTAATCAATTATTGGTGTACTAATTGGATTCAGATGCAATGAACTCACCTCAAGTTAGCAATTGATCATTTATAATTTCTAGCACTTACTTTTTAAAAATTCTGAATTTATTTAAGCATTCTCTTGTTTAGGAAATCAAGATTTGTAGGACTCATTCACAATGTGCAATGTATGATGCAAATCAATCGTTGTGGCTTTAATCACAATATGCATATCCGTTGCAAAATCAACAATAGGGATGCTCTATTTTTCTGCAACGCCTTTAGATAGAACGTTTTATTCTTTTGGTCCTATAAACTAAGTCTTATAAAGAGGTCTATTAGGACGCTTAGAAATTGGGAGTGTCATATAAACCCGATTTTCTTGTAGTGATAGGATGCTTTATTTTTTGGTCCTATAAACTAAGTCTTATAAAGACGTTTATTAGGACCCTTAAAAATTGGGAGTGTCCTGTAAACCCGATTTTGTTGTAGTGATAATGTGCGATATTTGTCTTCCATCTCCACCCACATAATTTTCATATTGTATGTTATGTATAATTTTAAGGTTTCTTTTAGGATCAAACTTTAAATACGTTTGAACACATGGTTATTAAGATTAAAACAATATATGAAACATTCGCATACTATATAGGCTTACACAAATTTAAAAAACATCATCTTGTTAAGGCAAAAATACATGATAAACTAACAATTAAATAAAAAGAGAGTTAATTAATTGAAGTTTCACACAATTATAAGAAATGAAATGTTCATGCATGTTATTTTGCTTGTAAAACTATACTTTTTGTTAAAACTATCAATCTTATGCAAACAAATCTAAATGAAATTGGGATTTGGTAGAGAAAGCAACATATACCTTCAAATAGATACAAGCTGGAGATGATGAAGATTCCAATGAACTTTGATCGCAATTTTCTGTTCCAATTAGAAATCAATAATTAGAACCAATATAGATAGATGATTTTATTGAGATTCATGGGTTCACTACCAATTGTCAATGTACATGGCAAACTAAACACTTGTTTGCAAATAAACTTAAATAGGTTGTTTAGGAATTGATTCAGATTAAAAAAATTTGAAACGGTTGATGATAAAAATCCATCTAAATAGAGAGATTTTGATGGATTCATAACCAACTGTTAAGATACATACCATTCAAACAAACACTCAGCTCACAGTTTTCTGTTGTAGATGTAATTGAAGCAACTCATGATAAGAATCCAATTTAAATAGACATATTTTTTACTGTCAAAATTGGAGCAATAAAATTCATAAAGAAACCGGATTGACCAAGACCAAAAAGAAAAAAACTTACGTGTGGAGGGAATAAATGCCGTTATAAATGTCAAGGAAACAAACACTCTCACTCCAATTTTGGTTTATAAAATTTCATCAATGGCTAAGTGTCATAATAGACTATCTTATAAAACTTAGGGGCTGTTTGGCAGTTGCTAAATGGTTTTGTGCAGAATGGTTAAGTGGTCAGAATGGCTAAGAGGGTCAGAATGGTTAAGTGCTGAATGAAATATGGTTGTTTGGTAAATGTTCTATTTGATGTGGTTACCTTCACCCACTCATCCCATACATCATCATCATAGCATATTAATGTGCACTATGTACCTCTCCACTATATACCAAATGCATCTTTCATATTTGTTATTGCATCACAATGCTTCTTTAATGTTTTGAGCCTTGATTCAATATGAGGACTAGCCTTGAGATTACATCCAGGAAGCTTACACCAGAGCAACCTGCACAAAGACAAAGTTCATGGTTTGACATATTTTCCAAGTCCAAAACATGGGTTGAGCTATGGGTTCCTAAATCCATTACTAAAATACTACTTACTACTGTTTTTGTATTGAACTAACAGATACCAAAATGATTAGCTCATATGTTAAAAGAAGATCGAAAAGGAATGAACAAGAAGCACACTTGCTGTTAAGTATTACAAATTGCACAAATAACTTGAATCCACCAACGATCAAATCGATTACCTCATCATATCAATTCGAAAAACAAAAAAATGATGCACATAAACATGAGATTTCATACAAGAAATTAGGGTTTCACTCACTTTTGGATTTGGGTTATGCGATGGTTTCAATCGGTGGTTTCGAACAGAAAATGAGATGGTTTCAATCGATGGTTTCGACCAGAAAATGAGATGGTTTCAATCGGTGGTTTCGACCAGAAAATGAGATGGTTTCAGTCGATGGCGACTGTGGAAGCGAGGATATCGATTTTGGGGAAATACCTGAAGCGAACGGCGACTGTGGAAGCAGATGGAGGGAACGACGACCTTGGAAGCAGTGGGATTATCGCAGAAGGAGACGGTGACCGGAAGAGCGACAGGAGATGGCGACCGAAAGAGCGACCGGAGATGGCGACCGGAAGAGCGATGATCGGGGAGGGGGGGAAGACGGAGACCAACGATCGTGGGGGGTGGGAGGCGATGTGAAGGAAGCGCTGTGTAGAGAGGGCAAATTTGGAAAAAAAAAAAGATCTGAATGGTTTAGTGAAGGGTTGGACACAAAATGGTTAAGAGGGTTATGTAATCATTAAGAGGCTTCATTTTTTGTGCCAAACACTCCTTACCTCTTACCGATTAAGAGGTTGACTCTTAATGTCACCATTAAGAGCCAAACAAACAGCCCTTTAGTTTATAAGATAAAAATTTAAGGGTCCTATTTAAATTCATTGTAATAAGTTGATAAGAAGTTTTTGAATGTCCTAGCAAGTTTTTTAAGACACTTTTAGTACAAAGCGTCACATTAACAATTTTATAGGACACTTTTGAGAAAGTGTTCTATAAAATTGCTAATATGATGCATTGTGTTAAAAGTGTCTTAAAAACTTGTTAAGACGTTCAAAAGTGTCATATAAATCTATTATAACGCCTATAGATAAGATATTTTATTTTTTGGTCCTATAAATTAAGTCTTATAAAACGGTCTATTACAACGCTTAGCAATTGGCGGCATCCTATAAATCTAATTTTGTTTGTAGTGTCTGCTCAAAATTCTCATACTTGTAGCTAACTATTATGAGGTTACTCCAATTTGAAAGAGTTTCTTGTAGCAATCACAGTGATTTAAATAATTTTAGTAAATTGAAACAGCTTCTGTCAATGTTGATAATGGTGTGTACAAAGTCATCTAATCCAATTAGAATTGATCATAACTGAATATTCAATTGTAATTGAGTAGGATTGGATCTAAAACTTTAACATCCAAATTGGATTAGTCAGTTCTTTGATAGCGATCCAAATCCCAATAAAACTTAACCGATTTAATCCTATTACTATCCAATATATATATATATATATATATATATATATATATATATATATAT